AGAGTTGTGTTCACTGCACTTATAGAGTTGTGTTCACTGCACTTATAGAGTTGTGTTCATTTCTACAGGTCTATGATCCTGCATACAACCAAAAATTACATCCCAATTTAGTTCACTGTTACCGTTCTTGGTAGAAGATGAGATTATTCTAGCTTTCAACTACTTCTAATACTTTTATAAAATAATTAATAACTTAGTGTCTACTTCCTGGTAGATGAGCCTCACTCAAGAACATGAGCACAAGAGTGGAGGCTCAGTGCAGGTTTTTACACGTTCAGACTTACAGATCCACGGCCCTCAGTCACTTGTACTCAGTGTGGGTGCACATTTCCATAAAGGAAACATTTTTCATTGCTGAAATGTTGTAATGTGGTCAACAGTTTCTTAAAAAATGCATGAATCTCACCCAAACAGGCCTTATCTTTGTCTTTCCAATCTAGTATATCCTTAAATGGCAACATACGGAAGCTTTTATCACACGTTTCAATCACATGCAACTTTTTATCACAAGCTGTAATCACCTTTACCATTTTTTTCCTCAAAGCATCTCACAATTTGGCCATTATATTCCACCAAGGGAGGGATGACTTCCTAGATTTTCTTCCACAGTTTTTAAAGACTTTCATTTCACAAAGGATTAAGTCATCCAGGAATGAATTATGCATCCACTGAGAGACTGAGAAATTTTCTCATGGATAACTGTCTCAGAACAATTAAGAGAGAATTTATTATCTTCCCACTTTTGCAATTGCATTCCTATTTGATAGGTTTATATATGCAAGTACAATTATTTCAAAATTCTGCATTTTACTAACTTTCTGCCAGTGCTAAATCATCTTTACAACCATAAATTATATGTCTTAACATGTAGTAGGGCAAGCCCTTTATACTTAACTCTGGAACTTGAATTTTATGACCAGTCATTCAAGTTTTCCAATACCAGGAGACACTGTCAGATTTAAATCACCATTACGATGACATTATTTTCTTACTTCTAAAGATACATACATATGCCATATCCATCTTTTCTCCCTTTATCATATCCTTAATTACCTTTAATCACGTTGTCCATAACTACCTTGAGTAGCTTATCCAGAATTTATATGCAGGACTTCTCAAGGTTCTAATTGGTTCTGTGCATGAAATCTTTATGGAGTTACCTTTATCATTTGGTTATTGCTTATGAGAAGAAATGTAATATTTCTATATTTTCTTTGTACTCAATAAAATACCCTTGCTGAATTGTCTTTCCACTCCAAATA